ACATAGAAATGTGCTCCTTCCCAAGGGATTCATGGTCTAAATGTATGACAAGGCAAAAATGGGAAGCAGATGGTCACATACATGTGAGAGAAACAATCAGCAGAGGAGCTATATGTGAGTCAGTAATTGTGTTAGGCTAAGCCTGAGTGGGGATCTGTGTTTGGCAACACAAGTGGCGCCTCAAATTAGTTATAGCCAATTTTTGTGTAACAGAGGGACTGTGTCTGAAATGTCATTTTTCTTGAGCGGTTAAAGTGTCTCTATGTGATTCTGTGCAGCTGTGCACTTTGGAGAATGGATTCTTGGGTTCCAGCCCTTCACCTGAAAATCCTTGGCTGTACCCAGTGTCTTTTTAAAACCTTTAACGTAGAAACAGCTCTAGTATCTGGTCTTGAGATGGTGCTGCCATAGTTCTACAATTCACAAAGTTCCCTTGCTTATACTTTGCTCTTTTCTCAATGGCAGGCTTGAGCAAACTGCTTAAGAGCATGCCATCAAGGATATGATTTTGATAGCCGTGAATGTCTTATTGACTGAGGGTCAAACTGAGATGGGGATCCTAATTTATGATGGAATTCTCTAACTCTTTGAATATGGTGTAAAGCAATCAATGCCTTCTCTGTGGTTTTGACTGGGACTTGATGTGGGTGCTGTCTTCTGGCCTGAAAGTCACTTTTTCTTAGATTTCCATTTACAGAGTCAACTGATTTAAGCCTGCTTAAATATAGAAGTACTTTCCAGATGCAGATTGTTTCTCAACTGCATATATATTGATATAGGCTTATTTTTTTAGCCTCCTGGAATAATTCAGTGCAGATTTATGGATGCTGTTATCAATGAGAAATCCTACTTGGAACATTAGAAAAATCAAAAATGTCAGACAGTGAGCATGAAAGCTACAGCATTACTGCTGTAGGATTTAGTCTGTGAGAAAAAATTGAGAAGTCAAAATGTTTCCTAAGTCTATTCCGAGGTCAGTTGTTCTGCGCAGCCTGGAAGAGACTGAGGGGGAGACCTTATTGCAGTCTACAGCTTCCTTGTGAGGGGAAGAAGAGGAGCAGACACTGATCTTTCCTCAGTGGTTATCACTGACAGGGCATGAGGGAGTGGCCTAAAGCTGTGTCAGGGAGGTTTAGGTTGGATGTCAGGAAAAGGTTCTTCACCCAGAGGGTGGCCAGGCCCTGGAACAGGCTCCCCCGGGAAGAGGTCACAACACCAAATCTGAGTGTTCAAGAAGCATTTGGACAATGCTCTTGGGCACACGGTGTGACTTGGGGATGGTGCTGTGCAGGGCCAGGAGTTGGACTCAATGATCCTTGTGGGGCCCTTCCTACTCAGCTTATTCTGTGATTCTGTGGTTGTGCCATGTACATTGCCAGACAGTGCCACTCACCAGCAGCACAGCAGCACTCTGTACACTATGAAATCAAGCTCTTTGTTGGCCCATCTGCTGGAAGCTATTGTCTCTTGTATTTGCCTCTGAGTTCTGTGTAAAAATGATTTATTTGCCCTCTGCAGAAAATTTGGGCCAAAGATAACAGAATCTTTAAACTAGGCTGTTGAAGGACTTTGAATCTTTAGGTGACCTTGGTGAACAGAATAAGACAGAAAAGGAGAGAGAGGTGATCTCATATGTTTTAGATATCGTGAAATTCTTGTAAGTTAAAGTGAAACTTCGGAAATCAGCAATGAAGTCTAAGCAGATTAACTCCTGTAATCCTTTCATTCTATTTTATTGAAAACTCTTGGTTGCACATCAGTTCTATGGAAAGGCTCAGTGCTTCTTTGTTTAATTGTTTGTTTTTTCCCTGTTGAGTCTTTGGAAGGGGGTATGAAGAGAAGCTGCTGGAGTTTAGCAGTATGCCATACATTTTTACTTCAGGGAGCAATATTCTGAAAATAGACTTTGATGTCCATGGAGATTTCTTCAAATACAGGATTAGAGTATTCTGTGTACATGTGTTTGGGCAGGATTTAGGCCAGGCAGGATATGTGATCTCAGGTCTGGTATTCAGTTGTAGCTTGGTGTGCCAAAAATTCATCTTGTCCTGAATATTTCAGATGCTTCTCATTTGTTTATATCATATGAAATATTGCTAGTGGCAGGTATTGTGGTAGCATTGTTGTTGTGCTCAGAACATGAGCCTCTCTTAATACCAAGAAAATTGGATAAAGCCATAAGCAGTTAGAATGAGTCAATGATTCTCTTTTGTAAAAGCAAAAGTAAAAAACCCCAACCCAGCAAAAACTACACCCTTGCCCCAGTGAAAAAGAAACCAGCACAAAAAAAACCCCAAACAAAACAAAATCCTCCCTAAAATTCAACATATTGGCCATGTAGATTTCCTGACATTGTCGGGAAGTTGTGCTTTTGTGTTTGACCATTTGATGGCATAACCTGCAGCTTTTTATAGGGCAACTGTCGGAGGTCAGTGTGCTCTCCCTCTCAAACCAAATTAATCCTTATGTTTTCTAATTAGTTCTCTTTTCCCAAATCCCCCTCTTTCCTCTGCTTGCCTTCCATTCTTCTTGTTCTTTCCATAGCACTTGCCTGCACTTTCACATTTTCTCTTGCCATTTTTCACCTGTGTTTACTTAGATTGATTCAATTTTTTACTCCTGTATTTCTTCTCTACAGTGTCTTTCTAAACTTAAGAGTGGAAATTGGCAAGCTTTTGTTTGCTACATCAGGAAACTTATGTGTTGGAAAGAAACATGGTTTTGTTCTGTCACTAGTGCTTGTAGCAGCTGAGTGTTGTCATTAGAAAACACTGTGGAGTTTGTAGGGAGAGATGGTTTATGTTGTGGAATGCTGAAGTTACAATAGTGAACAGCCAGTCATTTTTAAACCTACACAAGGAGAAAAAAAATAATCCTACCTTTCCAATTGTACTCCATCGACTGCTTGAAAGATTTGTTTTAAATGTCTTGGTCCTGCAAGAGTAAAACACTTTGCAAGTGGTTTCTTCACGTACACGCATAAGTAAGAAGGAACTTCTGAGGCATTTACTGTCTACTGCAACAATGTGGAAATAGGACAACCCCCTCTTGGTACCATTGTGAATTTTAAATTTAGACAGTGATCAAATAAATCACTTGAATAGTATGCTCATCCCCTTGAGCTGAACTGGAATGCTAACCTGCTTAAAGTGAGCATAAGCTTTGCTACAGTGGATTAGGACTCATGTGAAGTGTTTAAACAACAACAGTAAAATTACAAAACTTTCAAATATGCAGGGACTTTTTTTTATTGTGGGACCTTTTTTCCTATGCGCTTTCTTTTTTTTTTTTTTTTTTCTTTCCGGGAGCCAGGATATTTGGATATTCATAGTATCAGTTAAAACTTCTTGGGTGCTTGTCAGAACGTCACCCTTCAGATTTTCACAAACTTTGAAACTTAAGAAATGCCCCTGGCATTGCAATAATATTCTAGATATTGGTAAAGCTGTTGTTCTTTCAGACATGTGCTCCAGCTAAATGGAAAGCTCAGCAAAATGTTTTGTATTAAGAATTTCTAAAGAGACAAATAAATTAATGAGATAATTGTAGAATTAGAGTATAACAATACTGAAATGCAGATGCTTTTCCTCCTTTAAAAGTACAAATATTTCAAATATTTTCAGTGTTCCTTGTAGTGAGCTGGTGTGGATTTGTGTGTGCATGCAAACCTATTAGGACTATGAATCACCAAGTCGAGCTCACTTCTGTGACATGGGCAAACTATTTTGCTGTGGGTTTTAGAAATTGGCCTGTGTGCTTTCTTTCATTCTCAGCATCTCTGCATGAGTGATAACTTGAAAATTCTCAGTGTAGCTTACATTACAAACCACAAGTCCACACAGTGTTAATTTTGCACCATTCTTGAAACCTGCAAGGCTTTTCTTGTAAGAGAGTGAAGTTTTTGTTGTCCTTGAGATCCCTTTCAGCAGAACACTCCTAGGATCTGTCAGGGTAGTTCATTCCTGAATTCAGCATCCATAGACAATGGGGCTGGGGTGGGAAAGTACAAGGTAACAAGGATAGTACAAACAACATGGTCATCCCTGCTGCTGCTGTTTTTGCTATACTCTCATTGCATACATAGTCTTTACAGTTATAGTTTTCATAATTTATGGATAAACTCTAACAAGTTCTTATAAAATGTCACTATCTAGCTTCCAGATTTGAAAGTACCCCTGCTGTATGGTTGTAAGTTTCATGGTTGCTGTTTGCCTACAAATTCAAGAGGACAACATTGCATAGTGTCTGACCCATGGGTGACATTTAGAAGACTTTCTATTAAAGGCCTGAAATATGATTGAAACCTAAATGCAAATTTAAGTGGCCTGGGTATCTGATGTGACTCATTGCTAAGGAGAAGCTGGATTCATTCAGCCTTGATGCACTATGTTGCTCTTTTGCCCTTAGAGCAAATCACTTAAGGTGTCCTGTATGTCACCATTTCATTTCCTTCTCAGAGCTTAATATTTGTGCTGCACTTTGAAGATTTATAGCTCTATTCAATCATACTATACTGTTGCAAAGGGTTGAATATTTTTGTGCATCTGTTAAAGGTGTGATCAGTACTTTATGTGAAGTGAATAATAAAGCTTATGAAATGAAGAATGAATCATGATGTGTTCCTATTTTTATGCAACTTTTTACTGTGGTCATCTTATGCCCTTTTTGCATTCTATTTTTTTTATATAGGCATGATTAGTTAATTAGTTATAAGATTTCTCCTTTTCATTCTTGTTCAGATATCTAACAATCTTGCTTGCATTATAATTCTGTCTTGATGTCCTTATTTGTTTTGTATAAGCCATGGCCTAAACATCTATGCATACAGTGAAAGTAAATGAAAAATGAAACCCATGGTCCAGTTATGAAAGGATGCAGATTTCATTTAAAAAATTCAAAAGAGGTAGCTTGTTTAACTAAACTTTCAAGTGCATTCTTAAATTCTGTAAATTCATTTTGTCTGTTTGTACTGAAGTAGTTGGTTAGCTATAGAGTTTTCCTTTAATTTATTATTGAGTTTTGTTTGTTTATTTTGAATCTTCTAGGAAATTCTTATAATTCTGTAGAAATGTAAAATGAAAATGCCAAAAAGGAGAGCTGCTGGGAGTCACAGCTACTGGTAAGTTGTCAGCTTATTGTTGTCCCTCCTTATATCATGTCCAATGATAACTGGTTTGATGGTCAGCTTCTGTCTGATGTGTGTATAATTGGCTTTTGACCCAAAAGTAAACAAACAATGCTATATTTGTTCTTAAACTTAAGTTTAAAGTATGTTTCTTTCCATTGTATTTGGATCTTTTTCCTTTTCTGCTTGCTGGTGATAGTTTCGAGCATGGCTGTTAGTCCTATATATTGCATTCAGACATCTTAATTAAGTATTCTTTTTACCATCATCTTTACTTAGCAACATCCTTTCTGAGATATTCTGTGAAACTTAATCTTGTCTGGTGCGTAAAACAGTGTTCATAAATCAAGGTATGTTGCCATATCCTTCTTGCTTATGTTGTTTAATAGTTTTTATATTACTCTCTTTGAGCCAGAAGTGTGAAGCATGAAGCCTTATACACCTAGTCGCTCCGGCTTATTGCACAACACAATTATCAGTGAGCCCTAGTCTTTGGGATATGGCTTACCATGCTGGTGTAGATTGTTAAAGTGAAGAGTGTCTACGTGGTTGTCATGGATCCAAACAGCAAGTAGCTTTCACATTCCAAAATAACCTGGAATTTAAACAAAATCTTTTGGCTCTCAGAAGCTCACATTAGCATTTTCCATTTCATTTAGTTGCTTAAAATATGCTATCTCAAAGTCATAAAACCAAAATCAAAATTAAATTCTCTAAACCTGCTCTGACATAACCATAGGTATGCTTCAGATCCTGGGTGTGTTTCGTGCTGAACAAAATTAACCTTTTTGATGCAGTTATTTGAGCACCTTCTTTTGCTGCTCTTGAATCACTACTATGCTTTTGGTTTTAAAAGTTGTGCTTGTCCTCCACTGGAAAGGTGCATGGGGTGCTGCATTCTCTGAGCAGGCTGGACAGTTGTCACTCTGATCCACCCCTGGCTGTGCTCCATTCGGAGCTCCCACTGTGAAGCTTTCAAGTACTGCACACAGCCTCTCTCTGCACAATGTGTGAAGTGATGAGCACTTTTCCTAAGAAAGGTCTCCCTCACCCTAAGGATCAAAGAGAACTAACAATTTACTCAAACAGTACAGGGCTTAACTCTTTCTTTCTGGAAATCATAACTTGCTCTTCCAAGCTGAGCTGAAGATCACTTGGTTGTAGACACTAGGTGTTTTCCTTTGTTGATAAAAAGTGTTGGAATTCTATGCTGTCCCCTAGAGTTTCACCAAATGTTTAGCTATCAATAGTGGTTTTAATTGCTCATTAATTCAAATGCCCTGAGGTTTGCATTTTCCTTATAGTTTCCTTCCCTTCTCCAACAACCTTGGCCCCTGTGTTTTTGTGGTACCATTCAAATATTTTCTCTGCTGTAAAGTCTGTTGTCCAATAGCTTTTTCAACAGTTCTTTTTGATGAGTTCAATTCTTCATTGCAATTTAATTTTCAGTGGAACAAACCTCTGATTTCCATGCATTCTTTCTGATTGTGCCCATATGTTTTAATATGATTGTTTACATATGGTTGTATTAATGTCCTCTCACTGCATTTTCATGGTAAAAATCTGATAATCTTTCTAGGAGTGGATTCAAAGCCTTTAAGATTCTGTTCTAAGTTTAGGAAAAGGAGCAGTTTTGTGAAATCAAAGCTGAATTTGAAAATCCTGAATTGTTTCTATGAATGCTTGGAGTGAAGAAACAATCTTCCAACTGTCAAACTGCACAGTTCTCTCTTAGACTCTATAGGGATGAAAAGAAGGAAATGTAGGTAATTAAAGTGGTCTTGGTCCATTGAAGGAATTGAGGAGGAAGACAAGTGAATAGTCAGGTTTCTTAACAAAAACTACATATGAATTATAATAATGTTGAGGTTATTTATTCTGTCAAACTTTTCTTGAATTTATTTTTTTTAATATATCAGTATGTCAGCTCTTGAATTCTTTCATCACATTGCTCCTTGTAAATATGAAACTTGTCACCAACAACATGAAGAAGATTAGCAGGTGAGATGCTCTGCACCAGTTACATTTAATGAACACTGTTTAACTTGACAAATCTTGATTCTTGAAGCACCTCATCAGTAACTGAAAAGGCACAGGTTGTTTCCTGAGTGGTAAAAACGAGCTGACAAAATGAGAGCTCTTTATTCACAGCTGAAAATAGGCTATTTGAAAGAGCTCTATGGTCTTGACAGTTGTACAAGAGTTTTCTGGAGAATTACTATCTTTCTAATAGCTAAGGCACCTTGGGATAGTGTTGTCTGTTTAGTTCTTCTTCTGCAACCCAGTATCATGTGCCCATTCATGCCTAGCTAGAGGTTCTTAGTCACAGTAATCTGTTAGTGAGGCCCCTTTGGGTCACTGGCAGAAAGAGTTTTATGTTCTGTTTGCTCCACCACTTTTGTAGACCATGCTGCTTACTTTATATTTCTTCCTGGTAACTAGTGATCATGAGCTGCTTTAGATGGTAGAATCCTTGTTCCTGGCAGGCTTTCTGCTGTCTGGACTATGAATCACAACAAAATAAATTTGCCTTATGTTTTACCAAGTGTTGTATAGAATCATAAAATAAGTGATTGACAGAAAGATCCAGTGTTCTGGCCCAGCCCTTCACTCTGTCAATATAGGTCAATATAGGTCTACAGCATGATATGAAACATGTAACACCCAGGTTCAGCTCATTAATGCATGGGAAGCTTTGATCTTTTTGGCCATGTCTGCAGAAGCAGCATATGGCTCTGCTGGGCAGGTAATGTAATGTCAATATAATCTGTCTATGTTTATATAGTTCTTTATTAGTAAAAATCTCACAGGAGCCAAGGGAGAAAGTTCAGCACCCAAAATTTTCCACTTCTGTAACAATTTCCTGTTCCTAGCTTGGATCATAAATGTCTTCTGATTGCTTACCTCCAGCTTTCAGCCCCAAATGCTAGTGATCTGCCTCCTGTTTAAAGAACCTAGAAGAAGAAATAAACACACTGGTGTATTGCTGCATATTTATATTTGCATATATCATTATATGCAACATAGAGACATTGATATTCCCTTTAGAAGGGAGTGTTTCTGGCAATTTCCCTGGGTCTGTTATTAGAGGAAGTTTTTTGTTTTGCTTTGTAGATTACACTGTTCTACAGGTGTTACTTTCTCATTTTAGACTTTTTCTTGTAGGACAAATAAAATAATACTGGATTAAAAATATTTTATGATTGGAACCTCTTACAGCTTTATCCTACAGGTAGCCTAGACAGGCACAGGGATGTTGAGGTACACACACAGTTTCAGTAGATACTATTCAGCCAGTGTGCTAGTCCCATATCCTCTGAACAGAGAAAGACATAGTTCTCCCAGGATTTTCCTGAGAAGCTGTGAGAAAGCTCAGAGGAAAGAATGAGAAACAATTCTTATCTTCACTCGCTGCACCTGTTGTTGTGCACATGTGGAATGTATTATGGAGATTTCTTGATTGTTCACTGGTGACAGTGTTTGGATTGATTGACCAATCTGGTCTGACTGTATTGGACTGTCAGTAAGGGTGATGAGTTTTCTTAATAGTATAGTATAGTACAATAAAGTGATTGATCAGCCTTCTGGAATCATGGAGTCAATGCTAATTATTACCTGGCAGGGACCCCTGCTACAATAAGCCAGTACTGAGAAACCATGACAGACAGTTCTCTACATGGAACAGGTATTTTTCTTTCTTTGCAGAAACTGAGGATGTGCAGCCTTTTGTGTGTTTAGAATCTGAGAAATTAACCAATCCAGATGCTTCAAAATTAATTAATGAGAGTGAGTGAGCAAAACCAGTTCCTGCAGCTGTCAGTGCCCATAAATCATCTCTGTTTTTACTTTTGAAGCAAGACAAGAGCATGAATTTAATTAATGGGTTTGACTTTCTCTGGAAACACATAGTAGAGAAATCACCCTACCCACACCCTTTCACAGATGCTGTAAACATACAAATATTGTGTATTTACTCCTGAATGTTTACCAGCATCATTGTGCCAGATACAGTTGAATGCCTCAGGCAGGTGGCAAAGCAATGACTGCAACAAATCCTTGTTCTTTGGATACCCAGATCAGAGGAGCAGCAGGTTAGCTCCTGTTTTCTCAGTTCCAGCCGGCTTCTGATTAACAAAGGCATTAGTAATGACTGCTGCAGAAAACTCCAGGGGTAAATAGAAAGAGTGAGTTTGTCTGTTTTCCATGATTGGGAATTTAATTATAGTATGAAAAAAGTACCAAGTAAATTTTTTCTGCCACCCTGGATTTAAAAAAAAAGGGTAAAATCTCTTTCTTTAAAAAACTGTCTCTGCAATGGATGACCAGGAATGTGTCTGCATTGTTTGATTTTTATTGTATTTTTAGTTCTACCTTATTAAGTGCAAAGAAACACAGAAACTGTCAGGCTGGGTCAGACCCCAGTTCAGTGCTGTAGTCAGCACCAGCTACCTCAGAAGGAATTGTGCAAACACCCCAGGTATTGTGGGGAGTTGGAATTACATAAAATTTACATCATATCAATCATGGCTTTAAGTCTCTTGTGTTTGAAGACTTACATTCTCCTAGAACATTTAACTTGTTAAAAGTTAAATTTGATTTTGTCATTTTCACTGTTGTTATGCTGGACAGTGTTTAAGTTTTTTCTATGGAAACTCTTTTCTTTGGTAACAAATTCATAGATGGCAATTGCCCAGACTTGTTATGCTGGAGGAGGAATTTTGTTTGCTCCTGGGCTAGTGCCCTTTTTGACCTGTCTGAATGTTCCCCCTTGTTTATATTGTTATGTAACAAGGTGGTGACACTTTCCTTTTAGTCTGCAAAGTGTAGGATTTAATTGTCTGGACATCTAAAGGACCTGAAAAATGTGTACGAAGAGATGTGGCCTTTTTTTAATAAGAGGGAGTTATTCATGACATTATTTGAGCTCCTCTATATGGATGGGACTTTTGGTTAGTGTGGATGTCTGAGATGTGGTGATAATCTCCAAGTAAATT